AGCATAGTAGTCGTCGTCGTAGTCGTAGTCTTCTGGGGCCCCGTCAGGGACTGTTTGAAAACGGGCCTACGTATCTCGGGGGCTCACTTCCCCTTTGTTCCCCTCCCTGCGCCAAGCTTCAGCACCCGAGCACCTAAACCCTAAACCGCAGAGTTTAGGGTTTAGGGTTTAGGGTTTAGGGTTTATAGGGTTTAGGGTTTAGGGTAGTGTATCCATGAGTCTGAAGAAGACTTGCAACAACAACCGCTTGAGCCTCAGGACCGGGATCGTGACCGGCAGCGTGATCGGGATCGGGATAGAGCCACTCGGCACTAGGGTTTAGGGGGTTGAGGGAGAGGCTTCGGCGCTTGAAGGTAGCTTGGCTCGGGTGTTGGGCAGGTTTAAAGCTTCAGATTTCGGTAGCCGCTTCGAAATTCCCAGGTTCAGCGATTTCCCCAAGGTTCGTCAACTTTACGTTGTGAATCCTGAGCCAGACACCACACAGCCCAAGGCTCCAATGAGTAGACCTACACCTTGAATTAAGACCTGAACCTCAACAACATAAGCCCTAAAACCCCGAACCCTCAAGCCCTAAACTTCAAACCCTAAACCCTACAAGCCCCAAGCCCTAAACCTTAAACCCTAGAAATCCCAAACCCTAAGCCTAAACCCTTCTGTTATAAAGCCCTATAAACCCTAAACCCTAAACCCTAAACCCTAAACCCTAAACCCTAAACCCTAAACCCTAAGCCCTAAGCCCTAAACCTAATCTGTTAGAACGAAAGACCGAACACCGAGGAGGCGAACGGCGACACTGCACGGCTGAGCCCGGCCGAGCGGGAGAAGCTGAAGCAGCAGGTCCGAAGTCGTAGTTGAGCGGTTTGAAAGTTTGGGGTTTTGGGGTTCAGGCCCAAAGTCGTAGTTGAGCGGTTTGGGGTTTTAGGGTTTTAGGGGTTTAGGGTTTCAGGATTTGAAATTTGGGGTTTAAGGGTTTTAGGGTTTTAGGGGTTTAGGGTTTAAGGATTTATAATTTAGGGTTTAGGGGTTTAGGGTTTAAGGATTTAAAATTTGGGGTTTAAGGGTTTAGGGGTTTAGGGTTTAAGGATCTATGATTTAGGGTTTAAGGGTTTAGGGGTTTAGTGCGAACAGACTTCGATGCCTC